GGCCCCGCGGAGAGCCGGGGTGGGGGCGGCGTCACTGACCTGCCCGCGGCGCTGTCCCGGCAGCCGGCGGCACGGTGGCCTTCTCCCCCGGGAACCTCGAGCACCAGCAGCAGCGCCAGCAGCACCCTGGGCAGCCCCGAGAACGAGGAGTACATCCTCTCCTTCGAGACCATCGACAAGATGCGCCGGGTCAGCTCCTACTCCTCCCTCAACTCCCTCATCGGTGAGTCGGCCCCGCCCGCCTGCCCTGCTGCGCTGGGCCCGGTCGGCTGGAGAATCAGCACGGGGGGAGTGGGGGGAGGCCGAGGGGGCCGTCCTCCCAGGCGGCTGAGCCTCCTCGCCCTTCAACTCCGGTCTGACCGGGCTGTCGGGGGGAGCTAGTCGTCGCCGGAAAGGCTGCAGACCTCCCTGCTGCCCCCGAGTGGGGTCTCTGCCCCCAGGAGACACCCGGGGTGCCACACGGGACAGAGGGGCTCCTGGCGTCTGAGAGGCACGGGGCCCCCTAGAGAGTGCATGTGCGAGGTCAGAGGTCAGAGCCTTCCCTCTCAGGTTCTGGGCTGGACCGGCCGAACCCTTCTGTGCTTTCACCTGAAGTTCCGGTGAAGGGGCAGAGTCGTCCGTGCTCGGCCTTGAGCGGTGTCCGAGTCCTGCTGTGGGCTCGGGAGATCCGAGGGAGGGACAGGGATGCACTCGCCGTGGTGTCAGCTGTGTCCCTCAATGATGGCGAGGTTGAGCTCACGTGTCCGCTAGGCCCCTCCGTTCCCACTTCTGCAGTGATTTGCGCCATCAGTCACCCTCCTGTTCGGCCACACGACCTTCATTAACGTCCGATCTTGGTTGTGTGTGCGTCTCTGTGGGAACCCGTCCACCGCAGAGCGTGCTCTGGGCACTGGTGACAACGCGAGCTGCTTCTGACCGTCGTGATCTGTGGGGGCCGAGGGGGGGTCCCTGTGTGGCCCCAGGAAGGACTCGGGACTCCGGCTCTGATTCTGCAGGACCCGTGGGGACTGGGAGGGACTGCAGGGTCCAGGGTTAGGGACTGTTCAACAGGCCAGAAAGGGGCTCTTTGTTCACCCAGCACTCGCACATAACAAAGAGGTCCGCTCAGAAATGCCAGCCTGTCAGTGCAAGTTGAGAAGTAACGCTGCGGGTCTGCGCATTTGGTCGTTTGTTGAAATATCCCAGGGCCCCGAAGGCAGAGCCGCGCCAGCGGAGACCCCGGCGCTGCAGGCCCACCAGCACCAGGACGTCTGGCTTGAGTGGGAACACCTTTCTTTTTAAAGAACCTGGCCTTGATTTCGTTTATTTATTTATTTTAGCGGGGAGGGAGGTAATTAGGCTTATTTTTTGTTTTTAATGGAGGCCCTGGGGATTGAACCCAGGACCTCGTGCGTGCTGAGCCCGGGCTCTGCCCCGAGCTGCCCCTCCCCCTGGACTACCTTCCTTTAGCAGAGTTACGGGTCTGGTGGCTGCATCCCCAGGCTGGCCCACAGCAGTCTTTCAAACCCAGGTCTTCGTGAGCCTCAGTTCCCGTGTCTGCGTGTATGTCTGTAATGGAAACATGTATTAAGTGGTAGAGGAAAAGTGTGGGAAATAGGGGCGTGCTCACGCGCACACTTCCCCCCATGCGCTCCGCCTGCTGAGCCCCCACGCCTGCCCCCAGGGTCAGGCTGCAGCTGCCTTCCACCCTCCTCTGTGAAACGCCAGGTGGTGGGTATTCTCTGCTTTTCGGCTGGGACAGTGTCTGTGGTTGCAAAGTAGCCACAGACAGGGTGTGAACAAGGGAGCTGGCCATGTTCCGGTAGACTGTATTCATGAACTGAAATTTGAATTTCATAAGGTGTTCACACGCCGCAGAACCTCATTTTTCTTTCGATTTTTTCCCCACCCACGTACAAAGTGTACAGGCCATCCTTGGTTTGCAGTGGGGAGGTTCGGCCGGGCCACGGTTCACCCGCAGGCCCGCGGGACCTGGCTGCCAAGCTTTCCCTCCTGCTCCCCTGCCTCTGGGGACATCCTGTGGAGACCGCCTCCTCCCGCTCTTCCCGGAACGTGGGGTCCCTTCCTTCGTTCAGCAGGTGTTTTCTCCGGGCCCCAGTGTGTGGAGGAAGGATGGTGGTGGCCCCAGCCCGGGGCGTCCACTCCCTACACCGAAAGCGGGCCTCCCTCCACTCAGCCAAGGGGCCCAAAGCCAGGTGTCACCTGTGACCCTCTGTCCCCAGAGCATCTGTCCGGCAGCCCGCCCCTCCTCCCAGCCGCCTGCCCAAGCCGCACCCTCGTCAGCCGGCCCGTCCGGGTTCTCCGAATGGCCGCCTGCCTCCGCCCCAGACCCTCGTCTGGCTGCAGCCTCCCCTTCTGTGGCTTCCAGCTGCCATGTCGCCCGGCACCTCCCTGTGTTCTCAGCCTCTGCAGCCTCCACCTCAGACGTGCAGCTGCTCAGCAAGAGAGGGACGTTCCACAGAGTCAGACGTGGGCTTCTGAGCACGCGTGTCACAGGGAGAGGGGCGGGTGCATCATCGTGGGGCCGCTGAGAGCAGAAGGTCCCCTGTCCTGCAGCGTTCCCTGCCGCCGGGTGTCCTCAGTGCCTCGTGGGCATCCCCGACACCAGAGGTGACCACAGAGGTCCCAGCCGCGGCATTGCCGCCATTGAGCCTGGCGGGCCCGGAGTCGGGCGCTGGTGTGCAAGGCGCACGTGCCCGGGGTGAGCGCACGGCCCCGACCCCGCCGGGGACACAGCTCGGTGTCTGACGGGTGAGTGTCGTTTTGCCCTGGCCCTGGGCTGAGGGTGTCTGGGGAAGGGTTGGTGTTTGATTGGAGGGCACGGCCACCCCTGCCAGCCCTTGCGCGTCCTTCTGGAACTTGAGAGCCCTCTTCTGCGCTCAGTCTGACTCCTGAACATGTTTTACTGGGGAGCACTGAGTTTTATCTGGGCATCGTTCAAATCTTTGAAAGCTTGAGTGGAGAAGTTTCCGAATGCGCTGGGGCTCGTGGGGCGCTGGTTCGACGGAGTACCTGGACCCCGGCGCCAGCTCATTCGTATTCGGTGAGAGGCTCCCTTCCACCTGGAAGCCGCGGTGCTTACATAAGTGCTTAAAATTCCTAACCTGCACACAATCCCATTGCTTGCAACATTTGCCTATTTAGAGCCATTTTTCCTTTCATTTCAACCAAAGAACAGCAATCTCTTTAGCCTCTTTGACTGAATATTGCAGAAGAGGGTTTCAAAACCACAGCAACTAGACGTCCATTCATTCCGTCTTCTCCCAGAAGACCAGGCCCTCCCTCCCCGTCTGCTCGCGGTCTCACCTGCTGAGGGAGGTGTCATTGGAGCGAAGCCCCGCCCTCCCAGATCCCATGCGTCTGCCCGGCGTCCATAAATCTGCACGGGGACCCGGCTCTGTGTCACCACGTTCCGGAATCTTCTTTGATGGGTCCATCCTGTGTGTCTCTTACCCACTTGGCCACCTGGCCTGACTGCCACGTGGGTCCCCCAGGCAGCCCTCTCCACCTCCGGGCCCACCCAGGATTGGGCCTCAGCTCTTGCTCCCACCACCCTCAGACTGCCGCTGCCGGGGAGGGGAGATCAGGGTTCAAACCCAGCACCCAGGCCAGAGCCCCCGCCCCCAGCCACGTGGACTGGGCTTGGAGAGCCTGGGGCCAGAGGAGAGCGAGGAGCTGCCCCAGGTCTGGAAAGGCCGGCACTGCCTGGATCGCCCAAGGCCCGCAGAGCCAGGCAGAGCTGTCCTTCCCGCGGGGCGCCTGTGGTCGGCGTCTGGCCCCTGCCCGCCTCCGGAGCCTCTGCCTGCGGCTGGGGTGTCGCTGCGTCCCCCGACGTCATCGTGACTGGCCAGGAAGTAGCCTCTCCCTCCTCCCTCCCCCTTCTCCGCCTGGCGTCAGGAATCCCCAACAGAGGAGACCTTCTTGCAGCTCCGGACCCCACGGCCGGGAGCTCTGGGTGTCAGGGAGGAGCTGGAAGAGGGCAGAGCTGGGCCAAGGAGAGGAAGCCACACGCGCTGGCCGGCGGGTGGGCGGGCAGGCGCTCCGGGCCAGGCGTCGGGAGCAGCGCTGGTTACGATGCTGCGCATTCTCTGTGTTTCTGTGGCCAAAACCCTGGATCGAAGGCCCCCACTAAGTGCATCAGCACTTGGAAAGGGCCGTGGAGACACGCTGCCCAGTGCAGCCGGGGAGCGGGGAGGGGAGCCGGAACCCCAGAGGGGCTCCGAGTCAGGCTCACCAAGACCCGGGGCGGCTTCCTGGAGGGCCCCTCGTCCCCGTCACCCGACCGAGCGCCCACGCCAGCGCCCCCAAGACCCAGCCTCCAGCACAGCTTTGCCTCCGCCTCAGCTGCTCTCCCGCCCCGAGGGACCCCTGGGAGCTGGTTGGCCACAGCGCCCCGAGCGAACTTCCCTGCAAAGGATGCTATTTAGAAAACTGCAGTCGTTGTTCTGAAAAATGAATCCCAAAGCCGTTAGTTACGATCTTTTATTACTTTCAGTCTAGACACAAAAATAGGCTCTCAGCGTTTATGGGGAATTCAGGAGAGCCAGCCGGGGCCCCGTGTCCGCGCCCGGCCCCGCCCCAGCCCCGC